GGGGGGCAGTGTGGGATTCAGTATGAAATGTGTTATTCATAAAAGGAACATTTTATTTTATAAATAAAATAAAACACACGGACTTTTTACTTTTCCTGTATACTTTCCTGAATTTTCTAAAAATTGTTAATGAGCATGTACTACTTTTATTACAACAAGAAGTCCACTTAAATGCACAAATAAAAATGATGCAATAGTTTTAGTAGCTGACTCATCCTGCACCCAGAGTGTCTGCGTCTACCTAAACCCCATCTCTCACTTCACATGTTCTGAACCTGACTATCTCTGAAGGTAGGTTTAAATGTCAACTTTCCAGTATCTTCCTTCTGATGGAAGTGATAGCTCTTTCCCTAAATCCCAGTCTCATTTCCGGCAACACGTAATACATCACTTTTTACGTCACACTATTGTCATTAGTAAACATATTTCATATCTTCAAGAATATTATAAAGTTTTCTGGAGCATATAGTCCTTCTCTGTCTTTATACCCACTGGCTAAGTCACAGAATAGCCATGCACTGTCTCAGTTTTCCCATTTTTTCCATAAGGAAGCTGATCTAATGGTTTATGTGACTTTCAGAGAAGAGCGTTATGTTGGTTAATGTTTAGACCACTGCTGCCTTCTTAGCCTGTTTTAAAAATCTTGACTGAATACAGTAAATGTGATCATCCACAAGGTATATTCTCATCTGACTTAGAAAACCAGTTGCCAAAAAGATGGGTTTCCTCAGCATAAAATTATTTATCCCACTGATCAATTTTAAATAAGTGGCCACTATATTAAGTGACCAAGGGAGGGCAAGTTATAGGCTCAGTTGAGAAGGATAAAATTTAATATGGTAACATTTATTGATTACAGTAAATAGAATATTATTTTCTTTCCTTAAAACTACAAAGAAAAATTAATGTATTATTTTGTTCATTATGTTCTCAGATTTGTTCACAAAAATGTAGCAATTAGACTATAAACATATTTCTGAAAGCCTTGTGAAAATTTTAAAAGCCTTATAATAGTATTATTGGTTTTTCAAGAGGGCAGCCTGAGAAATTAAATTATTGTGTTCAATAAAGAAGGAAATTCATTCCAAATGGTCAATATCACTATTTTTCTGCTTTGACAAGTTCTCTAGCCTGTATATTCAATCAGTTATTTTCTAAGTGCCAAGTATCCGTAATATAGGTTTTTTTTTTTTTTGAGAGGAAGAAGTACTACTGTGTTTTCTGAATCTTTGTTCTCATCTGTTGCATTACAATCTCTGCTGAGTGACAGGACAAGGGACAGAATTGGCATCAACACACAGATGGAGGATGAAGAAGAGAAGTTTGTCTCATACCTTCAATAGGTTTTGGTACAAAATGTGATGAGGGCTTGGTTTTCTTCACTCTGTTCCCCTTCATAATCTGACCTTCTTTATTGAGTCCCAGAAACCATGCTCGGCCTGATTCTTGCTGACGGTACAGTGTGGAGGAATAGATCACATAGTAGTTTTCAAACACAGACTCCTTAAATTTGCACTCTGGAGTGAAAACATCCTGCAGGGAAGAAAGAACACAGAAGAGAGAAAGGATTGAATAATGAACCAGCAACTGCCTAAATCCAGTGAGCCTGAAATATAGGTCGTCTGCTAAGAAAAAATAAGCAATATTGCATGTAATCTCTGTTAACACTCGGTTGTCAAGATTCAGCATACAAAGCCAAGAAACAAGATTTCCTTTCTAAACAAACTTTACTCCACAGAACCAGCTGCTCAGGGTTGAATCACACCCTGGGCTAATATCATTCGAGACTGTGCCCAGGTCCAAACTCTGATCTCAGTATAATGCTTTGTAAAATTTAAGAGAACAGCCATTGTGCATTTTAGTGGCCCGCAGCATACAAAATGTACCCCTGGGAATCAAAATATAACACAGCGCAGCACACACAGGCTCAGCAGATGCTTTTGAAGGGGCTCCCCTCTATGCTCACAAATCTATTAAACAGCCAAAACTTGTTCTATGCAATCACCAATACACTACTTTGCTTAATGTTAGTAACTTTCCCGTTATTTTCTCTGAAATCTTTTTTTAATTAGTAACTAAAATTTCAGGCAAAAATACCCAGGAAAAGGTAGAAGAAAAAAATATATTACCATTACATTGTATGATCTCCAACGAAACACAGCATGAGAGTTTTAGTTCAAGAAAGAACCTCAAAAGTCCTCAACCTCGCCTCCATCATTTGATAAGTGAGACAACCAAACGGTGAGATGATTATAAGTTAAACAACCACCAAATTACAGCGTCAATGCCAGAACTCACATTTATTGTTTCACAATCACTGCCTCAGGTTCACCTCTTCTGCCTGAGTCTTGTTTAGTGACTTACAATGAGATTTTATAATCAACACAATCAAATCAAATCCTAACATGTCAAATGAACAAAATGTATTTCATGGAAAGAAGAAATTCCTCCCATTCCAAGAGAAGCAGAAGAAAAACAAATGTGACAGCGTCTTCTCCAGCTACAAGTAAGAATCCTACATGTCAAACATATTCATGAGAGTCACAGTCATCTTCACCATGTAATGGGAGAATCTCTTCCTTGAAACCCTTTCAATGAAAGGCCCCAGCGATTTAATGCAGTTACACCTGGGGTTAAGTTACACGGAACTAAAGCTGTTGAAACCATGTCCTTGGAGGTGGTTCTTCCAAACTAATCCCTTGGCTTCACTTGCAGAGAGCTACAGGGATGCATCTGCAGGAACTGATGAAGGGCTTCAAGGGTACAAAGCACTACTGGAAGGACTCCGTTGATTTTAAATGGCTCAAAAATTATAAGCAAAAAAAAAAAATGAGGCTTAAAAAATGGGAAAGGAAAGGAAATGAAAAGGTGGTTGTAGACATTAAAATAATAATAGTAGTGATAGTATTTCAATAATAATAATAATTTTGATAATAGAAGTATGATGTCACAGAGTACTCTCAGTTTAAGTAAGCTTAGTGGCTTAGGAATCAAAGAAACAAATGGCTTTGCAGTGCCACTTCACATCTGCTACGATGGCCATACCAAAAAGGATGGATAATAATAAGTGGTTTCTTTAAATCCTCATATCTTGCTGGTGAAAATGTATATGATGCAGCAGCTGTGGGAAATAGTTTGGCAGTTCCACAAAGGGTTAAACGTACAGTTACCATACGGTCCAGCAATTCTACTTCTAGATATACACCTATGAGAGTGAAAACACATGTCCACACATAAACTTGTGCACAAACATTCATAGCAGTGTTATTCTGACATCAATGGAAGAATGGATGAACAAAATGTGACACAGGCATACAGTGGAATGTTATTTAGCCATAAGAAAGGATGGCGTGCTGATTCATGTAACAACCCAGGTGAACTTCAAAAATATTATTTCACAGAAATATGAAAATTTGGAGATAGATAAAAAGCTGCTTAGTGACAGTTCAGTTTGCTGCCTTTATTTTAAAAAGTAACTGAAGCCCATGATAGTGAAATAACTGTCTTGTGAGTCACGGGGTGTTAGAGGAGACCCAGACCCTGGGCTAGAACCCCGGCCCCAGGCTGCTGGTTCAGTACCTTTTCCCATGTCACACGATACTTTCTTACAGTTGAACCAAACCTATTTTCGATATCACGCTGTTGATTGGAGGTAAACCATCATAAAAACCACATCTACCAGGTATAATTACTTTTGTTTAATAAACTGATGAAATCCTAGGTTTCTGTTTAGTTTCAAGACTGTTTAAAGTCTGCTCTAGAACAACAAAGGTCCAGAATATTGGGCAGGGACTGTAGTCCTGGGGGCAGGAGCCAGGAACAGCATTAGGTACAGACGGAGCCTTGAACTTCTCAGTCGGTAAATGGGGATCCCAGATGCAGCATCCAGGTCATAATCAGATATAAAAAGTCACATGGAGTATTCCATTTAATATTTTAAAGGGGCTATGCAAGCGGGGAGGGTGTAGCTCAGTGGTGGAGTGCATGCTAACCATCCATGAATTCCTGGGTTCAGTCCCCAGTACCACCATTACAAATAAATAAACAAACCT